TCATGAAGAAGCTGAAAGATGGTTTTAAGATGAACCTAGGTACTGTCGTTTCACTTAACTTACTATTATCTGTGTGTTTAAGGCGCAATATTCTGCATAGTCTCTGCCATTGATGCATGTTTAAAGGCCGTGTGAAATGGAAGTTCAAGCCTATGCTGTCACATACAGAATTTCAAAGTGAAATAGAATCAAACTGGATTGAAATAATTTTGTAAATGCCCCTGTTCTCAGTTAGCTGTTTTATTGAGCATTATACCGACTGTCTGCTTTGGTGTCCCCTTTTTTATACAATTACAGAATCATGGATATTTTGGGTTCATAATTGGTCAAGGAATTTCTTGTTTTCACAGGAAATTCTGGAAACACAAAGCTGTTTGATGGAGAGCCAGACCATCTTGTACCTTCATCGTCTGCATTTCTTGTTGATAGTGATCTGTTTCTGAAGGCGGGCCGCATGACATAAGCCACATTATGATAAACACAGTATGGTATTCAAGGTATTATTACTACTGCTAGCATTCTTAAAAGTTTTAAGAATGCTTTTAAGTTAAAAGCCATTTACAAAGAGAAATTAGCAAAAAGTAGACAGAAATGTAAACAGCTCGATGTACAGTCACACATGTAGGCTAAAATAATAAGTTGTAAGGACTCGTTTCCCGTCTGCTCCTAAATATCCTTGCGTCTATCATGTCATATAGCAATTAAATGACAACAGTTCTAGTTTTAAAACAAAACAGACTCCCTGACATGGCCACTTTATGGTTTATGAGAAGCTATGAACTTCTATAGCAGAACAGAGCACAGCCGAAGCAGGCTTTAGCGTCGATAGAAGCGCACATTTCCAGACCTATTAAACATAATTCCCGAAAGTAAATTACAAAATCCGGACAGTATTATGAAGAACAGAAGTTAGTAAAATAGCACAAAGCATAAATTTTTCCTTTACCTTTCAAAAAAATAAGTCGTGAGCTTGTTAATATCGTGAAAAATGAATGGCCATCTATGGGAGATGCTAAGTGGCTCCACCACACGCTAACACCGGAAGTGAGCAGAATACTAACTTTCACGTACTGTGAAAAAGGTCTATAGTTTTCCCTCGAGAGCTGAGTGCTGTGTTGACCCCAGAGGTAAACGGTTCAGTTGAAAAAAACTGTTTTTACCATATCTGAATGGTATCTTATAATAATATCTTGCTTATTCCACGCTGTTTATGTTTTCTAATTTTTGTTTGTTTTGTGTGTAGCGCATTCTGGAATGCATCAGCTGGCCTACAATGACTGATGATGTTGACGATGATGAATGCTCTTTGATGGATAAGAACCGCATCACAAGTTACCTTCGGCAGTTCATTGAAAATGGTATACTTCGATATCTATTCCACTGTATTTTTTTCTGATCCAAATTAATTCAGCCAGCTTTATATTCACAGCCTCAAAAAAAGATGCTTTCCACAGATCAAATACAATGACTCTCTGAAAAAGATACACTGACCATATACTGCAGAAAATTTAAAGGATTGGCTCCAAAGTTTGTTTAGATCATTATTCAGAAAACTGAATTGTACCTGTAAAGATAAAGGGCTCTATTTTCTTGCACGCCGGTGAGGCGGCGGAGGGCGGTGAGCCCCGCGCAGTTGTATTTTCGTCTGGCGGAGCCTGGCGTAAGACCAGTTTGGTATTTTCGTGGACTGAGCCGCACGGAGGCGAGCCGAGATCCGCCAAGCTGGGCGTGGTGGCGTGGCAGGGGGAGGTGTCGACAGAATCAGCAGGCGCAGTGACATTTTCGTGCTCGCCACCAGCGTGTAAAGTGCGCTGAAAGCTCACCGATTCAAACCTGGTCAGCTTTCAGCGCATGGCGGAGCGCAGCTGGTCTAGTAGTATTTTGGTAGACCGGCGGCGTATCGGTATACGTCACCGATGCCTCACCGGCAGGTTTCCACAGTGTCAGGCACATTTCAGTGCAATAAATAATCATCATCAACTATTAATCTGAGTCAGCACATACATTTAGATCTATATCGATATATTCTGATCTATATGTGATCTGATGAGCGCGTTTGGCACGCGTTTGGACACACAACCTGACTGAATCAACACAGCTGAAACCGCATTAAATTGAATTAAATATCTAGTAAATAAACACACATGATGAAGTTAACAAGATATGTAATTCGTCTCCCTCCTTTTCTTTCTTCCTCTTCCTTTCTCTTATTTCTCGCACTCTCGACCTGGACACGTCTCCGTGTCCTCTGTCCGTCTTGCTGCTGCGGCTGAACAGATGATTTGTTTCAGTGTTCAGATGAGTTATCTACTTTAAGCCGACATACGGATATTATAATATTCAGTTTTGTGGGCCAAATTTATTTTATATGCCAACATCTATGAAAGAAAGAGCCAGGCCACGGAGCGCAATGCGTCATTTACGCACAGATGGTTCCAATTTTAATGCTATTTTTGGAGTTTATGTTGTGATCTGTGCGCTCAACCCACCTTTGTCACGTGAGGTTTGAATATATGCAACTTTATGTGAGTGTCTTTATTTGTGGAAAAGGGTGTTTGTCTTACCACTGGGTCCAACATTACACACACCAAATCCATCTGTGCTCATATGAGAGAGTGTGGAGGACACTTGAGGAGCTGCCCTCTGTCGCCATCTTGTGGCATTACTGTCTAAAGACATCTCTTGATCTCTTTGACTACTCCATAAAAAAAAATAGTAATACGCCTCGCCTGTGGCGGATTTAAAGGCAAGGAGAGGAGCCTATGTGATTGGTGAAAACAGGTCTAGGCTGTGTTAAACCCACTCCACGCCCTCTCTCCTCTCCGTCTACGACTTATGCTGCTGGGAGGAGCTGAGTTAGGGAGGGGGGATACTTACGCCGGGCTGCGCGGCTCACCAAAATATCAAAATGTGCTTGGGAACGCCTTGTCAGCGCGGCGGATCTGACTGACACTGCGCTTGCGGCACGTCTCCGGCGAGGCACGAAAATAGAGCCCAAAATCTGGAGTTGGCATCTGCTTTATAGCCAATACCTGTCTGGTAAAGTCTTGGTTGGTGTTCTTCACAAATAATTTTGACAACCAAGAAAAAGCATTTTCTATTACTATAAGCATTTATATGCACGTAATGAACTGAAGGCGCTCGTGAGGTTCTGGGTTGGATGGGAGGAACCTAGGGCCCTCCTCACACGAGGACAGCCCCATATTGTCTTGGCGTCGGCACCAAAACATGTATTGCTGTTTACACATCGTATTGTACATAGGCTTAGTGAATTTACATGACAACGCAAAATCCACGCAAAATCCTGTAGTACATGCGCCCGGCCTAAAGGTGACACTGTGAAATTGCCACAAAGCGCTACAAACAGAGAATGCGCATGCGCGTACATACATGCTGTGTGTGTGACAACGTGGGTTGGGGGGCGGGGAGGAGGAGGCCTCACTCATGTTCACAAACTGAAAGGGGGTGAGGCACTGGTTCAGAGGCCTGCTACACAAATACCTTCCTTCCCTCTATTATCTTTAAGAAAGTCAAGAAAAACATGACTGTGTACTGTTTTGCTAGTTTTTGGTTTAAGCTGCCGTAAGAAAAAAAAAGATAATGAACAATAAAGAATACAGTAAAGGGCATATTCTCTACCAAAGGTGGGAAAAAAATTGTCAGCTCTCTGTAAATAAATGTTCTTGAATTAATCAAATGGCATGTTCAGTGTGTAAAATTTGAAATAAACAGGCCACCAAGTAATGTTTATCAGTGGTGAAAATACTGTAACAAGTAAAGTTCATGACTACAGCACTACTGGTTGTGGTGGACATACATTCAGACTGGACAGAAGCACATTCACATAGTAACTGTCTGCAGTTCCAAAAGACTGAACTTTTTAAAACCTTAAAAACACTGATACTGTGTGGCAATTAAAGAAAAGATTAATATGGGCCAATGTACAGTATGTCTTGCAATCAAAACGTTGACATAATTTAGGTGTTTCTTTTGTAATACATCTTTTAAACTTTATGTAACATTACACCAGATCAAATTATCATCCAATTGTATGTACCAAATATTTCTATAATGATTAATGACTTTGTTGATAAAAAAAATCAACAGGAGGTCTTGAGGTAGCTCTGAAGTAAATCTATTACAGCAATCCTGAAAACTGGTACGTGTTCATCAAGATGTATTTATTAGACAGTTTACAGATTTCAAATAAGAGTTTTGTCTTCAACTTTAAACTCCATTAATGTAGCCTTGGACTTGGGACAGTGAATGGTGTAGGCCTTACTGTAACCCCAGTAAGTGCTGGACATACTGGACAGTAGCTAGGTAGATGTCTGACTCGGATTGTCCCAGGGGATTTATGGCTGCCATCAGTGCTACCATTTGTTCAGCACTCAGTACATTTCCCATCTCAGGAACAGTGACTCCATGGTTTTGTTCACCAGGCAGCCCACTGTCCTCCCAGTCCAAATGTGGTAGATACAATCCCTGAAAAGCAGAATAGTGTTTATTTATGATCAAGGATCCCTAAACTGAGACAAAATACACATGTGATGCACATAGCTATTGTAAGCCATAACAGCTAAGCAGTGCAAGACAGGCCTTGGAAATGAAGTTAATGATCATGCAAAGTTATAGTAACTAAGCATTGATTTATTTTTACAAACAAGTTATGCACATCACTACATTGCGTATGTACCAGCTATGTGTTTACACCAGTGGAACTCACTGAGTGTATCCACATTAATAAATAATAAAAGCACCATGAATTACATTAGTGCTCATACAAAGAAAGCCTGGTTACGTTGAACCTGTTTCATAGCACATCCCTCTTTTCAAATAAGTGCTCTTCTGGACTAACTAACACAACATGGCACAGCCATTTGCCTTTTACCTCTCCATATTCTGGTTCTGCCATGGCATGCTGTATGTTCCCCATTTCCCACAGCTGATTTGGTGTGAGGTTACCCTCAGTTCTGAGTGGGTGGTTATCCCATCCATGACTGAAGATATCCAGACTCACTTGTAGTCTTGGCAGAGATGCAGAATGACAACTGAAGAGGTGTGCAATGTTTGACAGGTCAGGCAAACCATCCTCCTCTAGTGAGTGCAGCACACAGAGTCGCTCAATTCTGTTAAGAGAGTTTGAGTAAGATTAGCTATGGTTTACATACATTCATGCATAACATTTTTTAATTACTTTTGTTTAACCAGTGATTTTACCAAAAGGTCTCAGAGTAAAAATGATTATCATTACCAAGTGAATTTTTTATATAATTTCTTTTTTGTTGTTGTTAAATTATAGCCTAAAGGGGGGGGGGGTGACAAAAGCCTGCCTTGCCTTTGATTGTGCACACTCTTCCCAGCAATGAAACTGGACCTTCCTGTTTGCTTGACAGAGAACATTAGCCGCGCAATGTCAACATTCTCGACTACATGATCTCCTCTTACCCTTAAAAATTAAAAAATGTGTGCATTTTTTATTTGTGGAACTCAAAAGACTTTAAACTTTGCATCAACATTTTTTTTCAATCAAAGTGTCAACCTTCGGACAGCGGGAGCTGTAGTCTCTTTTAGTCGACTGGTCGATTCGTTCTGACTGGCTCTACCAAAATTCTGTCATTCTCTAATCAACATTTTTACCACATTTGTCCAATTATTGCAATGTTAATTTCATCAGGATTAAAATGCGGATGGGAATGTGAACCTGTTGTGTGAAATTGTTTGTTCAAAATAGATTTAGTATACTAAAATAAAAGTTTTTTATGTTTAATTATATTTAATTTAAGCTGACAAGACTATTAAGTACTACTCATTTAACTTAACGTATATTCAAAATATCTTCCAAAGGACTTCTGGTTACACAAATGTTTTAAGGATAAAGTAAATGATCATATTTTATGCAAGACATAAGGTCAAAACTGGAAAAATAGCACTTCATCTTTAAGCAGCATTGTTTCTGCTCTGAGCCAACAAAAAACATATTTTTAATACACATAAGTAGTACCTACTCAGCTGATATTCTGTACATTCTTTACATGCATGGAATACAAAATTGCATACTGTGGTCAAGAAGGTAAGGCAAGGTATTAACTTATGAGGCTGTATTATTTACCATGATGGAAATCTGTATTTATCCACTGATTGTAGGAAGAAGGTCAGTGCAGTTGAGAACCGATTGTTGTTTGCTGCACCGAGGTACATGATCTGTAGAAAATATTGACAGGGTTCTAATTATTTCTTTTTCAAGCTGTCCTGTAAAATTTTCATTTTTCATGAATTATACCTTTCTTGAAAAGCCATCAACAGCACCAAAAATAACAATGTTGTACCTGATTAGACAAAAGAAAGACACAACAGTACAGCCTGCGAAATATGTAAAAATGAAATCCACTTCATTTATATGACATCTAATCAAAACTTAAGTGATGTTATGACGGTTTTTACATACATCTGGTCAAACAATATTTTTTAACTGTTAGTAACAAGTACCAAGGAACAGAAACTGCTATTACACTGACTGATTCTTAATATCTATATTGTGATAGAAACCTCAAATAATGAAAATGATAAATGTGTGATTGAGATTAAATAAAAGGTCATGATTGATCTCATATGGATGTAGAGAATGAGTTTATAAAACCCTCAATATGAGTAGTTTAGCCATTAACTCAAATCTCAGGCCTCGTCACTTTATTAACATCATGAGAGGACATATTTTAACTATACAGAGCCCCAGACATGACATTGGTAAAATTAAATTAAATCACGGCCACACTATTCCTGCAATGAATGAGAAACTGGGGTATTGTAAAGAAGGTGTGCTCAATATGCTAACCCAGCTGTCCACAAACCACAGTACCGGTATTTCGTGCGCAAGTGGAGCTATATTGTGTAGTACTATGTTCGAACCTTATATCTATATTGTGGCCTCTTTTATCTATTTATCTATTTATTTATTTATTGCCTTATCGTGTTTGGGGTCCGTAAATTTAAGAAGTAAGTCACCACCACTTTGGGACAAGTTCGCGTTGAAACTGCTCTGTCCACGTTTATCATATTGAGCTATACAGTCTGCGGATATCACCGAGCGAGGCGACGCTGGCTAACTGATCCAGTTTGAGCCATTTCATGAACGCAGACAGCAAGATGTATTTAGTGAGAAAACATATATAAGGCTAAGTTAGCTTGATAGGTTAGCGCCGGCAGTGCCATAAACTACATATATCCACGGAGGAAATGTTGCGCGCTGGCGTTCGTGAATAAACCTATGTCCTGCGGATGCGGATCAGCACGGCGGAAGGTTACTGCCAAAAGTCACGTGATGGCGGGACTGACTTGCAGAACTGTTTCTCCGCAGAATTGTCTCTCCTACTTGCAGAATTTTTTTGAACTTGAGAAGAAAAAATTTAATCTGGAAAGATTTAAATTCGTATTGAACGATATTTTTTTGTACTTGAAAGAATTTATTTTTGTGCCTGAAGGATATTTTCATGAATTGAAGATAGATTTTTCTGTATTTGTGAAGCATGATGTATTTTTTGGAAAGACATTTTTTTATTAACAAAACTAAATGCATTAGTTGTGAATGATGTTTTGCTTTTGCAAATCACACTGAGTTTGTTTGTGAATCATTGGCCGTGAATAAAACACAGTTTTTGTGTTTGTGAGGTTTTGGCACTAATTTAACTCCATAAATTTGAATAAAGAAATACTCAGAAATGCAATTTTGCACTTAGTTTTCGCATGATATGTCCTGTAGCATCAGAAAAATGACATATGAACACGTAGACATGAAAAACAAGATTTTCATTGGAATGGATCTTTTAGACAAGGAGTAAGTTAGTAAGGAAAGGTAAGGAGTAAGGAAAGTGTGTGCTTAAATGCTGATTTTTTTTTTAGATTGTTATGCATATATAACTGTGTGTTGTACAAATTTTGCTTTTGGATACTGATGCTTCCTTTAACGGTAACCTTTTTGTGATGCAATGTGTACTGAATATGCCATATATGCATTTGTAAGGGCCGGATGGTGGATCATACTGCTACAATGTCTTCAAGGCCCCTTGAAAACAACCTAAAACACACAGTCCAAAGACCAGGATCTTGTGGATCTGAGGCATAAATGCTTTCTGTTTCTGTTTCCCCAAGCAATGGCTCCATGTGCACGTGACCACCCCGATTTTTAAGGCACTGACGCGTGCTCAAGTTCACTACCTATTGATTCTGTGTGAGTTCTGGGCATTAAAACCACTGTATGCTGTGGTAAAAAAAACAACAACAATGACACCTGTGCTGAAAGACTGTGCCAACACGGCCCATTAAGTCAGGGGGGCATTACATGGACATTAAGCCTGTCTGATGGTGTACATGGCAGACAGTCCTAATTTGGGGTGTGCAAAGCAGCCAGTATTTGTATTTGTTGAGGGGGTAAAAGTACTTGTTTTTGTATTCAAGTAAAATTCAATTCATTTTTTTTGTTTTGCATAGCACTTCTACTTTAGGTTATGTAAGTGTAAGTATTCTTTAATTATCCATTATAATAATTATGTATATGCGATATCAGACGATGTTTTTCCATAAATCCAGCAATGAACATGTAACAAGGAACATAATTGAAAAGAAAATAACATAACAGCCATTACCTCATCCATGGTTATACCATCAATTAATAAAATACCATTGTGAACATTATGAACCCCACCACCACCCATCCTTGTTGGAGGATGCTAAACAGACAGAATAAAAACAAATAATTCCTAAAAGCACTGTTCTTTCTAATGCACAGAATGCCAAGAACTAAACTTTAAACTGCAATGGACTGTCAGGGCTCCCCAGAAAAATAAGTGGCTGATAAAGATGAGTAGGTGAGTTGTGTTTAGTCTTTTTGCTAAAGAAATTAGGCAAAGCTGAAGAGGTGTTTGGTGGCTAGTACTTTAGCTGGGACCCTGTATGTACTGTTGATGAAGTTAGATGCTGTTCTGAGCATTACTTGTGGCTACAGAGTGGCTTTTTGGTTGAGGTGTGCATGTGAAGCCATAGACCGCTGTGTAATGCTATCATATGGTCGTTACTACAGTTGGTATAAGAAGAGAATCAAGCAGTAGGCAACATTCATCTCTGGGGGGGAGGGGGTCTAACTCAATGTAATGGTGTTTTTTGACCCTAATTTAATTTTACGCTTTAATATCCCTTTAATAGCTTAAATTTACAGTTTTTGTCAAAGCTACAAACTCTGGTAAAGTTGGAATTGGGGTTTGTAGGAGAGAAATGGTCAAAAACTGATGGACTCTGTACTTATCAGCCTCTGCCATCCATGAGTGAATGTTGTGTGGATGTGTAGACATATAAACATGATCCACTTACCATTATGCTAAACCGCCAGCTCACTGTTCATACCTTACATAACAGCATGCATGAACACAAACTTTTTTTAAACAGATTCCATTAGATATGGTTTCTTTATTCAGAGTCAGAGGCAAATTGCTGAAAAACAGTGATATTATTGAACAATGGATCTATTTGGCAATCAGTGACGACAGCTGCCTTTGGAGGATTATAAAAAATAAGAAAAAACACTTTTGGAAAAAAAACAAAAAGAAAAAAAAACATTATTAGTACATAAAATTCAGTTCTGACACCATGCTTAATTCACTGGGACTACTTGGATTCAAACAAGTATATCACCTGTAGCTGGAAGTCACATTGAATTTCAGATCAACTAAACTTCATTAGTAGCACTGAAACCTGCAACAAGACCCTCTGCTGACAGATTTCTCTTGAATGTGCAGAAATATAATTATCAAATACTACTAATGTTCCACCACAGGTAAGAAAAAGAGGTCAAAACAAAGTCATTAGTGCTTCATCAGACTGAATAGGGTTATAGCATGCAATACCGTGTAATGCCCTCCTTTCCATTCTCAGATTTGCTGACCCTGCAGAACTTCAAACCAAACAATCATACAATTTACGCACCAAGAGTTCAATTATATGAAAATAAAACAGGTTCATTGATATTATGGACAGTTTCAGGGTCTGGGTCTCCTAACAGCATTTTGCACTGGCAGTGCATGTGCAAGACTACAGCCTCTGAACGTGGGGCACTGAGACTGCTAGGCCATTGGCACCCTCAGCACTGCATATTTTCTTCACTGACCAGTGAAACTGGTGTTTCACCACTTAATACTAAATATGCAAAAGCAGCTTCAGTGTGTGCTGTTTTTTTGTATGAGGGTATAGATAGCATGAGAGAGCTTGAGAAAGAGTGAATTTTGGCCTACATGGCCTCCCATATAATTTTGATGGTGTACTCTCAGCTACATCCACAGATATTTGAAAAATGATATTATAGATGCTCCATTCATACCAGTGTCATTTTTTTTAATGATACTCTGTCTCCATGAAAACACAGATGCCTCACACCCATGCAAAGATTGTGATAGTGCATAATCAGTCTGCTATTGAACATAAAACTCAGTAAGAGGTGATTATACACAGAGTTCCTCAGACTTTGTGCGGTCAAATGTACTTAGAGTGATCTTCTGAAGATCTTCTGAATCTATCTGTCCTTCAATGAAGAGAGAGGAGCTGTCCACCACCATTGACCCTTTGGTCCATCTGCCTCTTTAGCCTAAGAAGACTCCAATTAATAGACATCTGTAGTAAGATGCTGCAGATGTTTTATCAGTCTGTGGTGTCTACAGTGTTCTGTTCGACGCTACAGTCTGCTGGGGAGGAAGCATCAAACACAAAGATGTAAGACGTCTGAACAAACTGGTGAAAAAAGCTGGCTCTGTGGTAGGACTCAAGCTGGACTCAGTGGAGGATGTGGTGGAGAGATCTACACTGAGGAAGGTGGAGACTGTTCTCAAGAACATGGATCACCCACTTCACAACACCTTGATGGACCAAAGGGCCAATGGTGGTGGACGGCTCCTCTCACTTTACTGTAGGACAGAAAGATTCGGAAGATCTTTTGTACCAACAGCCATCAGACTTTATTATTCTTCTGTAAATAGTAGATGACATGAGACTCCAGACAATTGACTTTCCACTTTGAGGATCAATTAGGTTCTGGTATTGTGTTGTAAAAAGATCAGGAGTAACAGTCACTACCAAGTAAAGCAGAAGTGCAGTATGATAGCTGTCTCATTAATCTAAGAGTAAGCACTGCTGAGAGCCATTCAGAAGGTGAGATCATGGGCACTGCAAGTGCAAATAAAAA